TCGTAACTTCAGAACTTTCTAACTTTAAAGATCGCAAAATTTAGGCGTGATAAATGGTTCAAGGAAATGTGCTGGATAGGGCAAAAAAAAACCTGATACATTTCTAGATCTAATAAAGGCCCTCTGCAATGGAATGAATATTGAAACAAAATCTTTTTTATTTTTGAAATGACATACAGACTTGGAAAACAGAAAGTTTTTATCTCATTGTTCATTCCATTACGCTTTTGTTACACCTCGAAATGTGTCAAGTTGTTTTGCATAAGCACAATTCCTTTTGATCACGAAAGTGAATGTCGAAATTTGAGAGTGGACAGTGAATAATAGTTTAAAAAACTCACAAATTTGTCGAAACCACTCAGGGTTGTTGTGTTTTTGAAATAGGGTACATTGTAACTGGGGAAGTAAGTGTACTTGCGAAGATACCAGGTCATATCACGGTATATTATCGTGCCTCTGAACGAACACTTTGACTGAATGTGAGTATGAAGAGAACTTTACATTTTCAAATTCTTTTCCTAAATATACAAATAACACTCATGATTTTCTGCTAAATTCTTGGAACGCTGAACGAATACATACAACCGCCACAAAACATTGCTGTGATCGCCCAGCAGTTATCAAAGAATAACCTACTCAATCAGTAATCTCCAGTACTGTGCTGTAGCAGGCTCGGCTGTAGCAACAATGAAATGTTTTATAAAACAACTGATGAATACTTACGGAACTTGTTCAAGTAAGTAAAGTAGACCGATTGGGGGTAAATTTTGGCGTGGTTTGAAAAGTTTGTAATCAACGACAAGCCACTGGTTATTGTATGTACCGGAATTGTACCGTTCATATATTTGGCACCATTCCTTAGCAGTTGACGCTAATTCATTAGCAACTTTAACGCGAATCCACGAGGGTATCTTAAGAAAGATTTCATGACGTGAGCTTTGCTCAATCTACTCCCAGAAATCCATTGCTTAATTCTCTGGTATTTGTGTAGAGCTCTTTAATATACGCCGATCGTATTCCACGATCAGGTTTCTCTGTATTTCTATGTTGTGACCCTTGTGTTGATATTGTCGATACATACTCAATTATGCTACATAGAAGAAATGAAAAAAGAGTGAGGAAAAAATAATTTGCGTAAACTGCTCCCAGAAATCCTTTGTTAGGCGGTTCTAGAAGTGAATCCAGGAATCTATTGCTTAAATTTACCTGACCAACTGCTCGAACATGATCGAATAATGGCATATTGAAAATACTGTACGTTGTCTCAATATTCGCCTGAAATTCTCTCTGATCAACTGTGGAATTGGATATTTCTTTTTGTCGCTTGTTAACTCTTCTGTTAAACTTCGCTGACACAAAGGTTTTTTTTGCGGTAAGCCTTCAATTCTTCTGTTTCTTGAGCGAAAAATGTCACCTTTTTGATCGCTGGATATTTGGATTCGTGTTCTAAGTCGCTAGTCAATAAACTCATCCTTTCTAAGCACCAACTTCATTTCGCTAATGTATTGCACCATTTGAACATATACAAGACGTGCATTTAATACACCACATTTAATGCATTCTCCTCGGTTCCTCCCCCTCCCCTTCCTCTAT